TGGACAGTGAATAAGGAAGATCGTAGAAGAATTGATGCCTTTGAGTTGTGGTGTTGGAGGAGAATACTGAAAGTGCCATGGACTGCCAAAATAACCAATAGATCTGTTTTGGAAGAAGTACAACCAGAGTGCTCCTTGGAGGCCAAGATGGCTAGTCTTCGTCTCTCATACTTTGGAGATATTGTCCGGAGAGAACAGTTGCTGGAGAAGGATGTCATACTGGGTAAGATGGAGGGTCAGAGAAAAAGAGGAAGATCCCCAACGAGATGGATCAGCCAGGTGGCATCATTGATGGCGTCAAGTGTGGTGGCGGTAGTGAGGTTGGCCCAGGATTGGACATTGTTTTGTTTTGCTGTGCAAGGGGTCGCTATGAGTTGGTTCCGACTCGATGGCACCTGACAACAACAACCTGGGAAAAATGTTGAATGATACTGAAAGCATCAAAAGAAGATCGAAGTAAGGTACAGAGTCACTGTACCAAAAAGAAACAGTTGATGCTGAACCACTTCAGGAGGTAGCATATGATCAAGAGTCAATGGTGTTGAAGGAACAAGTTCAAGGTTCACTATAGGTATTGACAAAGAATAAGCTTCTGGAAATGATGGACTACAAATTTAAATCTTTCAACAAACTAATGCAGCACTGGAGGCACTCAGTCATCTATACCATGAAATTTGGAAGACAGCTAACTGGTCAACTGATTGGAAGAGATCTATATTTGTACCCATTCAAAGAGCGGCGACCCAATGAAATTTGGAAATCATTGGAAAATATCATTAAAGCACATGCAAATAAAATTTGCTAAGGATGATTAAAAATCAGCTGGATTGACCAGAACTACCGAAAGTTCAAGCTGTATTCAGAAGAAGCTGTGGAATGAAGGATATCATTGCTGAAAGAAGAGAATACCAGAAAGATGCTTACCTGTGCCTTATTAACTATGCAGAAGCTTTTGACATTTTGAAGCATGACAAGCTATGGACAACATTGCAGAGAATGGGTATTACAGAACACTTAACTGTGCTCATGAGGAACCTGTACATAGACCAAGTGGCAGTCATTTGAACAGAACACCGAGTGATTTGAAATCAGGAATGGTTGTATTCTTTCCCCATGCTTTTTCAATCTGTATGCTGAGCTAGATTATTGAACAAGAATGTGGCATCAGGATCAGAGCAAGAATCATTAACAATCTGCAATAAACAGAGGATATAATCTTGCTTTCTAAAAGCAAGGACTTAAAATGCTAATGAAAATTAAAAACCACAGCTTTCAGTATGGGTTGCACCTCAGTGTAAAGAAAACAAAAATCCTCACCACTGGATCAGTAAATAACATAATGACAAATATAGAAAAGAAAGAAGTTGTCAAGAACTTTGTTTTGCTTGGATTCGTTATCAATATTCATGG